AAAAAAAAAGCTGGTAAAGATTTGGGCTATACTTGGAGTAAAGTGGGAGAAGAACCATTATATTTATGCAGAGTTCACTATAAAACTCCTATCTACTCTTATGGAGGAATATATGGGGAAGATAGCCATATCAGTGTGTTATTATCACAGAAGCATTGTATAAAATAGTTTTGTGCAAGCAGTGCTCTTAACTCTGGCCATGCCCTGTTACAAAAGTCTTGCTTCAGAACCAGTCACACAAACTTGTACTCTTTCTTTTTTGCATCCTCATACACAAATAGCAAGCTCAGTAATCAGGTGGAAAGAAGACTGAATCCATTGGGTTGATTCTAGAAGGTAAAAGTGGTCCAAGAAGTGACATTCGTGTGTAAGTTAATGTTCTTTGCCTCTCCCTCCTTTTTTGTAAAATGCTGTACTTTGCTTATATAGATATTAGATTGAATTGTATTTAGTTGACATCAAAAGAGTTGAATACTGGCAATTTTATGTGGTTCGCTATAATAGTATATTTTGAGAGGAGAAAAAGCAGTAGTGACTACCACTGTTAGCACTGTTAGTGCAGGAGATAGGTCTGTTTTATTCACCAGTGTATGCCTAATGCCAAACAAGTACAGTGTCTGGTGCATGGTAGACATTCAATAAATAACTTATGAATGGAAAACTCGGTTTTTGAGTCTCCATGAGGCTTGTATGAAAAACTATAGATTCTGAGGTTTTGTAAAGATTTTGGGCAAAAGTTAGGGAGACTTTCTTGTGAGGACCTAAGTTTTATTTTTAAGACAAAGAGATAAGAGTTTTTATCAAAGCTCTTTTATTTCAATGCAAGATAACACACAGTAGTAAAGATATTTACTACATTGGCATCTCCACAAAAAGGTTCCTCTTTTTCAACCATTTTAAAGATCTAAGCAGAGGTTAGAGCCTCCCTGCCTTATCCCTCCCCTTTTTCTTAGGTGGGTTCAACAAAAGAGCTCTCCCAATGGTTAAGCTCTGTCAGATTCGGGACAGTGCTTTTCTCCTTTTAGTTAGTTGCTCTGCCTCTTGCTTTTATACTGAAGATGATCAACATGGTAAGTGCAACTGTAACTTTTCCTTTCCCATTTGGGGCCAGAGAGGGGGCCTTTTTCTGTGTACTAACGGAGCTTTTACAAAATACTAAGCATATAATATGCCCTATGCTCACTTCTATGTTCTAATTATGTAAATTATCTTGTCAGATGCAGTAACCAAAACCCTACTGTAGTATGGTCTCCTAATACTGGTTTTACAGATCTGTATGTTCACAATTGAGGTGTTGTAATAGGCAAACAGCTAAGTTCAGGATTATTCAGGATTGCCCAGGGGGTCTTTGCATAAATATAAAGAAAATGTATTACTGCTTTGGACTATTATGTTACCATTTACATTTCCTGCAGTATTAAGTTTCATCCACACAGTGGTGCTAGAAAACCAAGAATTGATCATTGTTTTCCTCCTAATCAGTAGAATATGTATTTCTAACCATTTGTTGTAAAATAAACCCTTCTTGAGTTATATAACAGTTTTCGCGGTTATATAACTGTTATTTTCTCTGTCACATCTATTATAAAATTATGATTTTACCTCTGGAATGTCTCCAAACTTCAGACATCCTTCACCCGGATGACTGCAGAGCTTCCAAATAGATCTTCCTGAATTTGCCCCTGCTCTGCTCCAGTCTGTTTTTCATATTGTAGTTATAAGTACTCTTTTATAAACTCAAATCTGAACTTTACTCTCCTGCTTAAAAACTGTTAATGAATTATTTTTACATTGGGTTTATCAACAAGATAAAGTCAGGTTTTTCATGATCCACCTCCTTCCTAGTTCTTTAGCTTCATTCATCTGCAGCCTTCCCTTGGACCCTTCTCTGTTTTGCTCTATAGTTCAGCCAGTGTGGACGTCTTTTGGTTCTTTGAACACAAGTTTTCTCTGTACTTTGCCTGTTTTTCCTTCTGC